AAGTGTCAAAGGAAGCAGGAAGAAATATCAACATGATATCAACATGGGGCTAGGGCAAGTGCAGTAAGAACTAAATCTAAATACAAGTTCTGTGTTGGCTACATAAGAACACAGAACCACACTGATTAATTACAAAAAGACACACATGATATTGTTCTTAAAGAAAGAAACCTTCTATTTCTTAGTTCTGAGCTGTACCAGTGATAAAGATGTAAATGGTTTTGGAGCACCCTATCAGTGCTAGAGTAGAATACTGATGTGCATGGAAGGGGACCACTCTGGTCCCACTAGCACCATCTCAACCCTGACCTGGAGGTAAACTCTGCTCTGCAGAGATTACAGGGGATTCAGTAGCCTTCTGGGCTTAAGTTGAGTTGCTCTTGAGCAGACAGGGCCAGGGCACCACTGAAGGAGGGTGGTTGTGATACAAGTAAACACCTGCTCAGAAAACAGACAAAAATATTAAATTCCCTAAGGAGTTCAGCTTGGCTGTAGAGTGACCATCTCCACCTTGCTCTGGCAGAGCAAACACCAAGCCAGAATAGCACTTGCCTGCTTAGGTTAAGTTATAAATCCACAATGCAGGTCTTAACGTTGACAGGACAACAGTGCAAGAGCAGTGCAATACTGGGTGTTATGTCAGCCAGACTTTCACACGCAGTATGCATGGGACACAGGGCACCTCCTGCTTACATCTAGTGCCTGATCATCAGGACCGCTTCAAAATACCTCCCTTAGAAGGAGCAAGCGGCTAAAGTAGCCACCTGAAGTGATTAGCCAGAGCCACTGGAGCAAGGTCAAGCCCATCTAATCCAGACTCTTGCCCTTTGGCAACAGGAGCATTCTTCTGTTCGTTATGGTTTCTTAAACCCTGCAATTTTAAGCGCAGTCATGTTTCAGTCTGTACAACACCAGATGTGAGCCTACCTTAAGGGGCAGGTACCTGATTAATGCTTTCACCTGAAATACTTTAAAAAAAAGAAATTCTTCACGTAAAGCAGATCTGATAACAGCAATACAGCTACTGCATGAACAGAAACTATGTTTCAACCATAATTCTGGAGTTATTTATTCTGGTAGATCCAAGCATACTATATACTGACCCACACAGTGGCACACAGGTAAAATAGTCAACTGGAAAAAAGCACTCCACTCCCAGCTAAAACACTTGCTAAGATATCTTAAGTTCCTAAAAACTCATTTAGCTTATCATATCAGAGTTAAAAAAGACTAGTGTGTCACAGACTGATGGACAGCCAACCCCGCTCTTTAGTATATGAAGTTTATATCAGAGTGACACCGTAGCAGAAAGTTCTGCTCACTAATCCATTCATCCATTAAAAAAATTGCAGTTGGCCAGGTATCAAGGGACTTGTCTACATAAAAGTATAAAGAGGAACTGGGCTTGTTGAGCCTGAAGAAGAGAAGGCTGCGAGGGGACCTAATATATACTTACAAATATCCGAAGGGTGGGTGTCAGGAGGATGGGGCCAAGCTCTTTTCAGTGGTGGGTGCCCAGTGACAGGACAAGGGGCAATGGGCACAAACCGAAGCACAGGAAGTTCTGTCTGAACGTGAGGAAGAACTTCTTCCCTCTGAGGGTGACGGAACCCTGGAACAGGCTGCCCGGGGAGGTTGTGGAGTCTCCTTCTCTGGAGATATTCAAGACCCACCTGGACAAGGTCCTCTACAGCCTACTGTAGGTAACCCTGCTTCGGCAGGAGGGCTGGACTAGATGACCCACAGAGGTCCCTTCCAACCCCTACCATTCTGTGATTCTGTGATTCTGTAACTCTTATTTCAAGGTTTGCATTACATTTAATATTGTTTTGCTACTAGCAGGTCAGCATTTGTTCAAGTCTTTCAAAGCTCACCTAGACTTCACAAACAACATAGGCAGTGTCTATCCATTCCTAGTGAATGGATGCAGTTCCCTTCCACAGAGTTCAGGACTTGGACTGCAGAATTGACCTCAGATGAGACCTACTGAACAGTGAAACTTACAACCCAGAGCTACATGAATGATCATATTAACATTTAACATTAATTTATAGGACTCCTCAAGATCCATCTTGTTTGTTCTGCAGTCACTAAGAAGTATGAGTTACAGTCTAGTTCCTTATTCTCATTCCTTCTCTATAGCTCTAAAGACTGCAGAAGGGAAAAAGACTCATCTCCAGCTTTTTTTCCTTATGGTTAAATGCAGACAGACCAGAAGCCAGAGCAGGTGGATGAGAGAGGAAAGAAGTGGAAGTGGAGAAGTTTGTCTTTCATTGTACCCTCAAGTTTCATATGGCATAAAACTGGATTGGACTAATCCTCTCAGTCACAGGAGGATGCCATCTTGTTTGTTAGCAAGGATGCTAAACTCTGTATTGAAGTGATTCGTCTTGTTACAAAGATGGAGGGAGCATGAGCAAGAAGGGGAGAATTGTTTGGTCATTTTCCAGTTTCATGCACCATCTGCTAAACTGGAGATACAGAAACAGTAAGGGGCAGGAGTTCTGCCATGCAGAGAAACATAGTGGAAGGCTTGAAATAGTAACCCTGGTAGAGGGCTTGTGTCTGCTCCTGCGTCCATCTTGAGAAGTTGTCAACATTAGATACAGAAAAAGAATTAAATACCTCCTAATGTACATAATTGTGCAGCTATATCTTGAAAGAGGATATTCTTGTCTGGCTACAGCTGAGGATTAAGAGACCTTGAACTCTACCTGTCATTCATTCATTAAACATCCACTTCTGTTGATTTTCTAAGCTATTGGCCTCAGTTACATCCTGCAGGAAGGCGTTTAATTACCAGGTCAGACACAGCATTTTGTTTTATGCCATTCTGCCCTGGTGATCTAGCTCTGCTGAGCATCCCTTTTGCCCTGCTCTCAAGAAAGCATCATTAGCTTGCAGCTGACCCCTCACTTGCCCCATCTGTTTTTAAGTCTTCCTCCCCCCAACACACTTCCCCTGCTTTCCATCTAAAAAGGCTCAAGTCTGTCCAGCTATTGAATGTGCTCTGTATGAAGCTACTAATTATTCTCAAGAGCTTGCCAGTTACTCTGAATTAACTAACCAACCAGCCAAAGTCACGGTGAGGATGCATCCTAGTTTTATCCAAGTGGCTTTTATAATATTTTTTTCTCGATTTCATCCACTTCAATAAAATGGGATGTTCAGTCTCCCTTGCTGACTGCTGCTTGAATTTATCGTATGAGTCCCAGTGGCACTGAAGTTTCAGACCGCTGCATAGCAAACATTATGCAAAGGCTGTTTGTGGCTTCCAAGTGATCCGTATTATTTACAGGTAACTGTGGTACCTTTACAGCTAACATCATCGTTAGCATCCAGATGCTAAATGTGTTAATTTACAGCCACACCAAACTAACCAGAGGACACATTCAAATGGGTACTTGGCTTGCTACTGCTGTCTAATTTAGAACTGTTGCACGTAGCTGGAGTGCAAGGAAGGGGACAGGTGTTGCACTGCACTGTGGAAACCAGCATCCCTTTTCTGGATTAACCTTCTCTTGGATCAGCAGCAAGTTCTGCTACCTCCCTGTGGATTGTCCTGCTGGTCATACAGCATACCAGAAAAGTGCAGACTAGAAAGAGAGCTTGGAAGGACAGACTGCAGTGGCAGGGATATAGCGCCTTGCAAGTTACATCACAGTTAAGGATGTACAATTAGGAACCTGTAAGGCCTGAGTTAAATCGCTTGTGGGTGGTGCTTCAAGGATTAACACTGCTTTAACTCCACAGAAGAGCTGATTTGTTTGGGGATAAGAACCCATTCTCTGCCACCAAAATAGCACTGCTTAGATGAGGGTGTGGCACAGCAATACTGCAACAAAAAAACTGGTAGAGCTAAGCTCCATCATGTTTTTAACACATTCACAGGAAAGAATAAGCCCAGTTCTAGCAAAATTAAATATTTAATATTTCAGAAAGTTTAGCTTCTTGCCAGTGCTGTAATAAAACAAGACTCAGTTTCTCTCAAGGATGCTCCCACTTGAAGCTCAGTTTTTGCATCCCCTAGATCCACGCATTCAGATCACTTGAAGGCCATGCTGTTGTGACTTCTGGCAGCCCCACTGTTTCCAGGCCCTAGGCCTCAAAGAGAGGACTGACAACACTCCAGATTTTTGACAAGCATTAGACAGCTTAATCAGTAGTACAACACTTCCCTGAGAAGAAGTGTAGGAAAAGTCAAGGCTGTAAGCGGGCAGAAAGGCCTGGCCCAGCCCTCTGGGGAAGGCTAGCATAGGTGGTGCTGTTAAGTACTGCAGCTATCAAAGAGCCAGAACACAAGCACAGCTCTGGGACTGGGGAGGGGCAGGGGGGAACTGCTTTCAGGAGGCTCCAGGCTGAGCTGTCAGGAAAGCAGCTGCAATCTCCTCGAGCAGGGCTTCCCACCAACAGGTGTCTGTAACTCTAGCACTAACACTATGGTGAGGAAGGAGCAAGACCCTTTTGGAAAGGAAAAATACTTGTAAAACCTGTTCACATCATTAAATCCTTCTTTAACTATTTACTCTTAAAACTCGTACCTCAGCGACTGAAGTGCCTTCTGCAAGCTTTCATATCAGCAGTCACTATTAGTTAACAGAAGGCTGATGAAGAGGGGACTCAAAGTTCAGGCTTCCCACCAGCCCCTGCCTCCACTGCTGGGACGATTGAGGTCTCTGTGCCTGTTTTCATATGGCAATGGCACAGGCATATCCTGACCCACTCAACCACAAAAGGACTTCAAGCAACAGCTCACCAGCATCACAGTGGATAAAGAGGATCATCATCCCACTGTCTGCCCTCTCAGAGACAATGAAATGCTTTGAAATAGGCAGGACTAAACACACAAGATGTGGTTTCTCCAGATGAGAGGCCCTTGCATGGTCAATAAATCAGGCTGAGCAAATTCAGCCCTGTCTTTCACAAAAGCAATGCTAAACAAAGTGTTCATAATGACAAACCCGGGAGTTTTTGCACAAGATGTGGGGGCCATCCCATTCCAGCATCACTTCTCCCTCAGCCCTGCAGGCCTTGCATGGGTTGAAGACTTCTGTGCAGACACGGAAGAAGTATTGTCAACAAGATGCTTCATCTACTTGCTGTCAACACAAAAAAATTGATAGCAAGTCTGCTGACCCCACTCACTTCATAATCTTCTGCAGCAAACTCCCCCCAACGTACAGATTTTTTTTTTTTTTTCCTTAAAAAATACTTGTTTTAGTGAATTAAGATGGACACCTCTCCCAGAAACAGGCAGGTGAATCCTCTGGGACCCATGGGATCCAGCTCTGGGACTGGCCCACTAGGAAGTACCTGGGAAGATCAGCACTCTGTTCCACTCCTGCTCCCCTGTCCCCTTTGTCAGAATCACTGCAGGTGGAGACAGGTCCCAACTGTGGCCAGCAAGAAGTCTATGGAGCCAGGCACACACGGCACAGCTCTCTTCACACCCGGATCTGGTACCCATTGAGGTCTGGCATGGCTTTGGAATCGGCAGGCTTCTTCTCAGCAGATGGCCTGTGAGCAAAGAGGGTAAGAACTGTTCAGAAACTGTTTATTCATTCAGGAGGTGCTGCACATAGAGATGGCAGCACAGGAAAAGGCACAGGAAAGCTTCAGACTTATCCTGCACTACTGAGGGCAGAGTTACTCTGCAACCTCCAGTAATTCTCCTAACGATCTCCACAGAAGAGAATGCAGGTTAGGAAGAGTAGGAAGTCCACTCCAGTTTCAGGAAAACAATCCCACTGACAGCAGTGTAATTTTTGGAATCTCTTTGGAGCAGAGGTCTGTGAGACTCAGACCCCTGCATAAGGTTAAACATCGGCTACCAAGATCACAGTCTATTTGAGCTGCCTTCCTCCTCCCTGCCAAACCAAAAAAACCCGGCTGTCCCTCACTCCCCAAGCAATGATGATCTCACAAAAGCTCCCTAGGGAAGAATGCTACTGCAGGTCAGGGAAGTATCTCCTGTTATAAAGAACCCTAGTAAGACATCAGAAGGATCCAAAACCAGACAGCAAGGTGGAGCCCATGAGCAAAACAGAGATGCTCTAGATAGGTCTCCTGCCCAGCAGCCCCACTCACCGTCGGTCCCCCCGGCTGTTGCGCCGATGGGGGCTGGCCTGACCTCTTTGTGGGGAGGGGACATCTTTCTTTCTGTCCTTGGTGGGAGATGGTGGCCCAGTTCCTTTGCCAATCTGCCAGAGAAATGAAAGTAAGAGCAACATCAGCAGAAAACCAATACGAGAAGTAACCAGAAAACACAAAGCCTAGCAACGATTAATTATATGGGACTAAAAGACAAAAAGGCAAGGCAAGTGCATCAGAAATGCAAAAGCCAGAAAAAAGAAGCTACAGTGACAGCTATGGCTCCAAAGACTATACAGTCCAAACTAATCGCAACTGCAGTACTGCATGAGCATCCCTTAGGGGACCAGCCTGTGTTCAGAGGAAAATAGCCCCCAGACTCCAATTCACCCTCTACTCCACCACCATCTAGGAGAGCCTCTTGCCACTTCATTCCCCCAGCACACCATCAGCCAGGCAAGACAGTGGATGCAGCAGAAAACTACTTCTCCGTCCTTGCTGCTTACCTTCAGCCTCATGTCACGGGCATGTCTCTCAAGCTCTTTGCGGAAGTCTTCCCGGGTTAGCTTGTCTAGATCCAAGATGGAGTGCTTCCACTCGATCTGCTCCACACTGTGTGGGTCATGGGACACACAGTGGCCCAGCTTCACCTTCTTGAGAGTGTGCCAGCAGCGGCGATATGCCTCCTCGAAGTCAAAGATGAGTTCGCTCAGTGTGCGGAAGACGGGTGCTTTGTACATGAGCTCCTCACGTCGGCTGATGCCCAGTGCCCCATAGCGGCCTCCAAAGTTCACCCCCAGCACAATGTGTCGGAAGTAGTTCCCTGAGAAGTGGGTTTTGAAGCTGATGGGGAAACGGTCCAGCGTGGTCATGTTGTTGGTGAGGTAACTGACAGCAGCCGCTATTCAGGAAAAGACCAGCGATACCAGTTTCTTTATAAGATACTTCCTGCTCCAAACCCTCCCAGCCTGCTCGGCAGACTCACCACTGATTCAGGCATCACATAAGCAGGATTTGTTCTCCAGATCAAGAGTCCCGCTCACTGCAAGCTGCCCTACTTTCATCTGGGTCATGGGGAAACCAGACTTGGCCTCTTCAAGACAGTCAACAAAGGGAAGTTAATTTTGTACCAGTTTTGCGATGCAGAAGTTGCAATGCTAACACCTTGAGGGTACTGTGTTCATAGCTCCCAAACTGTTAATGCTGTAGCATTATTCCTCAGTTTGTTTCAATCTGTATAACTAGCTACTACTTCACACACAAACTAAGGAACCTTCAGGACAAAATACTCATCAGACTACCCTTCTGAACCATTTGCTTGCTATCTCTGCCCCTCCAGGTGTCTTTGCCAATGTGTGTCAAGAGTCTGTAGCCCGAGTGACATAGCCTAAGCCTGGAAGATGGCTAGGAAAGATGTGTGCTTAAAGATGACACACATCTAGAATTATTAAAGGTACTGCCTGAGCTGGCAGGCAGTGTTAGACACAATAGTAACGTGACATACACCATAATTAGAAGTTGGGGAGGATTCCTGACTTATTTTAATGTAGAAGACATGCAGGCAACATTGTGGTAAGGGACTGGTGTTATCCACAAAGGACTTCCTGACCTAACTTTAGCTAATATTTTTGCCCCTCTTCAGATTTGCTTAGATCCTTCCTTTATCTTTTACTCACTTGTAGAGTTGTCCAGGGCAGCACCACCCTTGGGGAAGGAGGAGCAACTCCGAAGAACTAGTTCTGATATTTCAGAGAATTGCTTGGATTTGGATTTTATTAGTGGGTTTTTTTGGGAGAGCTGGGGAGGGAAAACAGAGGAATATGGGGCTTGGTGACAATATTATCAGCAGCCTCAAAGCATTGTAAGAGAGCAGCGGAGAAAACACAAGGATGGACAGATATGCACAATTCCAAGAGGAAAGGATACATTCCCAGGATCACAGCTTCCAGGCATTTTATTGGCAGGGCCTCTTTGGTCATTTCTTTGGCCAGGTCCATCAGCCTGCAGAGTGGGACAGGGGAAAGATGAGGGCGGTTAGAGGGCTTGTGCTATGCAAGTACGGCCAGTTCAGCCCTTTTGCACTATACATATAAGGTAGGTTTCCAGGAGAGAAGGTGGCCCACTGAGAACAAGGAAGAGGAGAAAATATCTTCTTTAAGAAGATACTAAATCCAAACCAGGTCTCTACCACATGCTGTTGCTGCTTAGAAAGAGCTCCCTTCAGTGAGTTGCAGAAAAGCTGCCTACTAGGCCAACCTCTGTTCTCAGGGAGACCACAACACTTGGCTCGGTGAGTTCTGGACAGCCACCAGTGTGACCACAAGCAGAAGCCTCAAAGGAGCAAAAGCCAGCAATGTTTGCCTCACAAGGTTCAAGCACAGTGAAGCCCTCTTCTCTGGCATCAACCCCGCTCTCCATTCAACCAATACTGTGGAGGAGATATTGCACCGATTACAACAGAAGACATTTGGGGTCACATAAGTCTATGGACTAGACCAATAGTAAGAAGCCAGTCTTGGGAGACTCTCAATATGCTGGCCAAGAGTCAATGAACATCAGGTGCTTATCTCCAGGAATTTATGAGGCACAGTTCTTCCCACAATCTGCAGTCAGAAGAATCCCCCTTCTCCTTCAAAGTATGAGACACCGAAAGCTTAGTGGGCCTAGGTTCTGCAAAGGCACTCACTGGAGCTATGAAGTTAGACCTGTAAAGATACTTGGCTTTTACGAAGCTTGTTTAGGGCAGGACCCAATTTCAGAATCCATCAGAAGTTCATATAGTTATATTCCAGTTAGGCAGAATCTGCACATTTTTGAAATAATATGTTTACATTTTTTACTGGATTTACTGATTCATCACAACGAAACTTACTTTTGTCCTTGAGATAGGCCAGACACAGCTCTGCCCAGCTGTGCCCCAGGCAACAGACAATAAAGTCACCTGAAGTCGGATGGAGCTGCAGTACTGAAAGCCCTGAGTGCCACCTAGACCTTGGCCAGGGGATGGAAGAAAAAGCAGTGGGCACAGCAAGGCCCCAACATCTTAAAACACAGATTAATTGCCGTAGGGGCTGCCAGCACTTACCCAGTCAGAGGTCTGCTCTTCTTGATCTCAAAGAATTGTGTCCCAGTGTGATTGTACCTGGAGGCAAGAAGTTAAGGGCTTGGCAGCTTGGAAAGTAGAATTTGAAGAAAATGTGTCTGACGAACTTTAATGTTACTTACTAGTAAGTAACAAGTAACTAGCAAGTACGGCCAGTTGAAGTCATGATCCTTAGGAAGATACTTTTAGATAGCAAGTACGGCAGCAAAGTCATGATCCCACAAATACAACAGCAATGCAAGAAAGTCCCCGCCTGCCTCTCCTGCTTTTCTCCCATTTATAGTCCCTCCTTACTTCCACTGTACTTCCTTCTTGTCAATTCTTCTCTTTCTCCTCCCCACACAGAGGTTTCCACTCCCTTTGTCACAGGTCCATGCTGACAGCACATGCTCTGCTCAGCTTTCCAGTTACCAGGGCAGAACAAAGTTTGGTAGATCTCTGCCTTCTCCAGTCTGCACAGAACACACGGAGCATTGAAACATTCATGGTACCTTATTCTAAGACTGACTGGGACCCAGTCCGGAACACAATCACCTTCGATGGGTGAGAGGTGCCAAAAGGTCTTGCCTTCTTACCTTGTTTTAGGGCTGAAGCCAGAGCCAGCTCTGTATCTCGTCAGCAAGATTAGACTGTGTTTGCATGGCACATACCTGCTGTCCAGCACAACAGGGATGGAGAAATCTCATTCTCAGGACACAGGCACACAGGCAGCTCTGCGTATAAAGGGGCAGGATGCCAGAGAGGCACAAAAGCAGGGTGGCTGACTGCCTTTTAGACAGCTACAGAGAAGTGAGTTCGAGTAGGATGACCCGAGAGGCAGTTTTCTCACCACTGCAGCTGATCCATGCCTTAACAGTTAGGTGACACAGTTTGCAGTCCATCTGAGACGCAGCTGTCAGGGTCTCCGATGTGTGTGTTTTTAACGAAACGGCGCTGTAAAGCCACTGACCTAGAAGGGTGGGTAGTGAGGAAAGGCCCTTGACAACATGCCCATTTCTTACATGGAGCGAACAGGATCAGAAGGTAACTCAGGCAGAAAAGAAAAGAAACAGCAGCAAAACAAACCATCATCCCAAGTCCATGTTCCTGTTTTCAGGGGGCAAGTTTCGGTTCCTCTCCAGCTACAGCAGAATGAGCTTTTCTGTTCTGCACAGGGAAGGAAAGTGCCCTCGCTCCCTCTTCCTGGGTTATCACACCAGTGACTGAGGTAACAGTGAAGGATACTGAAGCTCCCTGATGTAGCGCTGTACAGCTTCCAGGCGCTCAGGGATAGGGGTGGATGGCTGGAACGCAGGCACACTTGGTATGGGAATCTGAAACAGGGAACAGAACATAAATCACTGCTTCTGGACCTCTCCAGCTTCTTGCTGAACTCAGTGGCACATAGCTACGGGGACTGTGTTCCTCTGAAACCAGGCCCTTTTTGCTGCCTGAAGTGACTGCACCATGAACATTACTCTGTTCCCACACTGATAACTGGGAAGGGACTCAGAATGAAAGCACCACCACAGAGCTGCAAGAGAAACTGTGTGAAAGGGTCCTGCATTTAGGCAATGTTACATTGGAAGAATAAGATAAAATTAACTGACAAAGCAAGATGGCGAGACAGGAGAGCTATCGCATGAGGGAGCCTGGCCTCATTTGAGTATACAGTCTGGAAGGCACAAAACAAAAAACAGAGGAGAGTCAGGCAAAAACTGAGAATGAGTTTCCCCAAAGCCACCAGAGCATGGAACAGTCCTGTAAGCAAGGGTATAAAGGTCTCTCACTGCCTCCTGGCATTTCAGGTGAGTTGGCACTGACTAGGACACAGGCTTGACAGCATCATGACTGCCCCCCTGCAGTGTTTTTGTTTTGAATTACATGGTTAGAGAATGACTTCTGGAAGTTCAGTGTTCGGACTGCTGTCTCGTTCTGAGGCCTCAGCCTTACAGGTCCAGTCAGATTTTCCTCACCATTTGCTCCACAGGGGATAACTGCAGCCTTGTCAGCAGCTGAGAAAATGTGTCTAAGGAAAGAGAAAGTGTCCTGTCCACAGGACAAATACAACCGAGAAGATGAATTTGGTGTGACTGACAGGCTTGGAGAAACAGCCCAGCATTTTTGCTCTCAAGGATAGCTCATGCCTTGCTCATACCCCTCTGACACCCGACTGCTTTTCACAGCAGTTTTGTTTTTAGCATTTCAGTTCCTCCTCAGACTTCCCCCAGAGCTGGGCTATCCCCAGCTAAGCAGTGAGTCAGAACCAGATCTTCCCTTGGGCCTTCAAGTCTGCTGTGCACAGCTGCCTCTGCTGGCCATGGTTTTGTAGCCAGCAGCACTGCTTAGCCACTCCTTGCCCTCCACGAATTTTTCTGTGGCCACTCATTTCCACACCTCCTTCTGGCCTGGGCTGGCAAAAGTGACTGGTGAACCAGGTCAGGCACCTGAACCAGCTGAAAGCCGAGTCAGCAGGCATAGGCAGTCTTCAGTCAGATCCGTTCCCTGTCCTGGTTTGCCACATGGTCACACTCTGCTTTGTGCCTGCACAGCACAGGGGCCATAGGCTGCTTAACCTTGAGAGATGGGCTGTTGCTGCCTCTGGAAACTGTAATCTGTAAGTGGTTTTCAGTCTAGCTCCAAACACAACCAGCAAGTAAACACTGAGCTAAACTCAGTCTCTGTCCATTTTCTCTCCCATGTTTTGATCTTTTTTTTGTTAAACTAAGTAGCAGGATTTGGCCACTGGTACCCATTTTCCTAGCACCTCTTGGAGGTGCGAATTGCCATCTCCAGTGCCTCAGCTACGCACCCTGCTTGGAGCAAGCAGAGGCACCGTCTGGCTCACTTGCAGGAGATGGCACCGGAGTCGATGTGGAACTGGGTTTGTTCCGCTGCAGCAGGAGCAGGGAAGGCTCCAGAAAGTGGCACAGGGATGAAGCCGCCTCTGGAACCGCATGAGCGTTCGGATGCTGTGAGCTGACATTTCCAGGCAGAAACAATGAAAGAGGTAACAACCAGGACAGGCTGACTATTTAACTTTGTTTCATTTCTTCAGCGTGGAGACCTTCATGCTTTCTGAGTGGAGGCCGATGGATTAAGCGCACATTGACAGCACAGACTAGTGATTGTGGGTAGTTACTCCTCCCTTTACTAGTACAGACCCCCAGATCCCCTTTTTCTCAAAGGACTCTGCAGCACAGAGACAGCGTAATGGCAACCAGTT